CTCACAGCATAAATCTCTTTTAAGCCAGAAATAATTTTTTCAATAATACTGATCTCGGAATTAACTTTATTAATAGCTCTTCTTATGGCATTTTTACTCGGCAATGGTACACCAGGAAGTTGTTTCTCAATTAGGTCGTCCAATTGTTTCTTAGCTTTTGTCAGCCTGGTTTTAGCCGATTTCTTACTACTTCGTAAAGTTTGAATCTTGGTACTCACTTGTTTGCTTTCTATATTCAATGTATTTTCTTCTTTTTTACTTTCGTGGTCGGCGAGATGAACATTTTGAATACTGTTTACAGCTTCAATTCCGAGTCTTTAAACACAAAAATAGCCTAAATATTGTCACACTTTTTGTAGTCGAAAAATATAAACTAGAACGTTCAAAAAACGTTTTGTCGCCCGCGCGACTATTTCAGCGGTCATGGTAACAAGTACTTCATATAATAATATCGTTCGTTAACATATAGTATACTCAGTCCAGTCATCCAGATAATTTATTCTTGGCCTAATAACTATTTGTTCCGCAGATTTTCAGCTATTTTGTGTATTAAACTGTTTGTAATATTTCAGGGTCTTTCAGCTGACATACAAAACACAAACATATATGCATGCATGCATGCAAAGTCACGCACAAACTGAGGCGAAAACATCAACTGAAGTTATCCGAATTAATGAATTAATCATAACTTTAGAAATCTATCCACAGGAGGCAGGTAGTGTGTTTCATATTTGCATATCAAGTTTCAATCAGTTATCAAAGCCGGAAGAACTTCACGCCATACAAGACAACACACGATATTATAGCGCTTTTAGTCGCCAATTTTACGGACTACTACTTGTAGCAGGTATGTAACTATATGTCAAATTTTTTATGATAGACTGTTGATGTTATGAAATCATACGCATTGAATTCTATTGCAACCAGATATAATATCAAACATGTTTCCTCACTCTGTCTCTGGTTTGTTAGAACTGTTTCCACACTCCAGTCGAAGTGACTTACGATTTAGGTCTCCCCTATTAGAAGACTCTATTAAACTTCTCAAAGAGTCTCAAGTGTTTGTGAACATCGTCATTGTGAATAGAATTTGTACAGGGATTAAATTTATTTCCTTAAACCATGCATGATACCTGTATACAGGGTACATCTATGCACACTACTATAGACTGTAATTCAGAATATAGCTCGAAAATTACAGTTCAACGTTGCAAACTGAAAATATACCCGGAAGTAAACACTGTCTTTATGTAATGAACAGTTCATTATACAGCTATTTCAATTAAGGTTGTCCACGAGCAAAGCGGAAAAGTCGAATACGAGCGCGATGGCTGCTGGGAATCGCTATGAAAATTCATTAATTTTTTAGCGATTCCCAGCAGCCTTTCGCGCTGGTATTCGACTTTACCGCTTTCTTCGTGGACAACCTTAATTGAAATAGCTGCATACAGAACACGAACGACAGTAACGATGCCCATATATACTGTTAAGAAATTTGTGTCTCTAGCTTTTTCTAAAATCGTGTCGATATAAACATTCACTTAGGTGTACATATACTATGAAAACAGCGTACGGCTGATTATTTGGAATTCAAAATAAATATGCGCAATAATCAGTTTCTGCATGGGTTGGTAATCAATCCTTCACCCATCGAGTGGCATCACTCTCCCTTTGACATGTAAAATCGTCTGGCATTAGACAGAGTAAAATAATAAAATAGAACGCATTACTATGACTTAAAGGGTTAAAATTACTTATTTGCACCATGAAAGAACCTGTCGACTGTTATTTCACTTATTTGATCAATAAATTTTCTGTGACATACAGTCATTCCCTTAGTATATATATATATATATATATATATATATATATATATATATATATATATATATATATATATATATATATATATATATATATATATATATATATATATATATATATATATATATATATATATATATATATATATATAAATCAGCTATTATATGGATCACATTGCAGGAAGCATGTCGACAGCATGTTATTTGTACCTCCACAAAGGAGATCATATTTTTAGTTTGGCATACGGTGCTCATATGCGTACGAGGCGCGAGGGTTGCCCCCCCCCCCCGAGTGAAAGCGAGTAAAAGTTGAGCAAATTATAAAGATACGTTGGGCAAAAAGATGGGGGAAATATATTAAAAAAAAAGAAATATGCAACGTAATGGTCGAAAATGGACAAAATACATATTACAGTTTCGAAAAAATGTTTGAACCGCCCCACCCCCCTTCGACAAGAATTTTGAGAAGTTTACACGTAAACATTTTTTGGATAAGTTGGACAAAAAGGAAAAAGTCGGGTAAATTTCTTTCTCCCCCCCCCCCCAACTTTTTCCTTCCCTTACGCCTATGACGGTGCTAGTGTTGGCTGTGTTGCGGACACAAAGCAGCTGTTTCTATGAAACACCCAGATTTTTGGCGAGAAAAACAAAATTACAAGTAATCATTACTCTTTTTAAGTAACGGTAACTATATATAGTTACGTTTAACTACGTTTTGAGATGAGGTAACTGTAGCCTGCGTGGCAGGCTCATCTAAGGTAACTGTATAACTTGTTATATGTTTTGGCTTAAAATGGTAGGATAACGCATTACTCTTCTGACCATGCACTGTTTACGTCACTTTTTTCGTTACATTTTCACGTAATATATATAGTACATTTGTTTACACAATTACACTATCAACTTTTATGTTAGTGTTGTCGACAAACTTATATTCACTGTACTATTCCCCTGCCTATTTTGCGGCTTGCAGTCAGGTTATCATATTCTTTACAGACTGAATTTAATTGAACTCACTAACAATGTAATTATTAAAACCTGCAGATGTACAGTGAAATGAAAGTAACTTTTTAACTTTACAGTAATTTCAAGAATCGTGAAGTAACTTTGTAACAGTAACTAGTTACATTTTTTAGGGGTAACTTTTATCTGTGTAACTTGTTCCTTTTTTAAGCATGTAACTGCCTAGTTCCAAAAAATAAGTAACTTTCACAGCATTGGAGTTAGCCAGCTAATTAAAACACCCAGCTAAAAAAATTACCTTGTAAGAGAAAGAACTTTGTCTAACGTTTCAGTTTCCTACACAAGACGCAAGATAAACATCAACGGATAAACCGAAACCGGTTAGACAAAACTTATTTAACTTTGTAATAATCTAGAAGAACAAATAAAACAAAAAATGAATGAACCTGGATTCAAACCTTTTAACAAATTAAATATACTTGATGTTGTGCGAAAGAGTACAAATTCAGGCATACCTGAGTTTGTATACCCAGGTCATTGTGAATTGAGTTATCAACATCAATAATATTTCCTTTGTTTCATATAGATTGATTTCGTAAGATGACTGGCTTAGTTTTAGCCATTTTATTTGGTCTCAATTGTTTGTTATTTCCTTGTGAAGGTAAGGACTCTAGGTGTTACTTTCCCTAGGTTACTTGCCCTAGGTTAGTAAGTTGTCATGGATCAGTCTTCATATAATGTAAATACAATTGTCATACTATGGAGTAAACATTTTTTGTTAGGAGTATGGTTTATTGTCAAGTGTTGCTTTTGGGTATAATATAGGAATGAAACAAAACAATAATTAATCTGTTGTTTCTGTAATGGAAAAAAACTAGTTCTCCATATAGGGTTTTTATGATTTAAATATAAATTGTAGATGGGTTGGAATTTATGGGACTGATATATTTCATCTTTCAAATATTTCTGGAAAAGGTGCAGGGGTCTATATAACATTCAACACTTTTGAAATTCACAATGTTATTTGGCAGCGATGAAAATAATGTACATTAAATCGAAAGGCAACCTATACCTTAGTATCTACCTTATTTGCGCACATTTGTCCTAAAAATTAGGGGCTGCGACAAGGCCCCAAGGTAGAGTGGAACTAGCAAAAATTTGCCTTATCAAAATGGTCTATTGTCCGCTATCGAGCTATTCCTTTCCCAAGCAGAAAACTGGAAGTTAACCATCTCCCCATCAGAGACATCCTAATAATTTGACTTTTATTGGGTAATATATATATATATATATATATATATATATATATATATATATATATATATATATATATATATATATATATATATATATTCTCGAACGGTTGGTGCTGGTGGAGGTAAAGACTATATCAAACAGCTGCAGTGTCTAGGATATGCAACTACCTGAATACATATAAGCAGAAAACAATGGACCTTCGCTCAAAACGTCGAAGTTCTTTTTATATTTTTCAGGTGGTTGCATATCCTCGGCACCGCAGGCGCATGCAGCTGGTTGATATAGATTCTCCCCTATACCTCTCGGAACATCTTACATTCTCTCTGCATGTTTGTTGGTGAGTGTCGATCATTTCAGGAACAACCCATCAGTCAGAGTGCTACAGGCCATGCATCACGGGAAAAATTAAGTTACTCTTGAAATTTAACATATTAACACTGAGATTATTTCACAGAAATGTATTGATTTTTACTTTCTTTTGTGTAGGTCAAATCTCCCTCCCGCCTGGTGGTGACACCTTTGTTGTTCTCCCAGGAGAAAATGTGACAATAGCGTGGAAACTTGATGTCAGTGTATCTGACATAACTGTTCGAACGTGGAGTTTCCTTCAAAAGAGCGATAAGTTTTTTGCTCAAATCGTTCAAAATGGAAATGTGGGTAAACAATCGCAATACTCACCTGGGCCATTTACAATAAAAAAGAATTCAACTTTGATTTTAAAGAATGTTACTATCCAGTACAATGGAACGTACAGATTTAGTATTTTTTCGCAGAATAAATTAACTAAATCTGAAGTTAATGTGTTTGTTGCAGGCAAGTGTTTGTTGTATAATATCCTGTACCGTTTTACCCTACTTTTTTGCCAATTTCTGCACGAAGTGCGTGGGTAATACTTGAACTGATTTGTTTGGCTGTTGGACAGAGATGCAGAAAGGCCTGTATACAGGCCTATATTCTGTATCAAATTAAAGTGTTATCCATATTACACATTATGCTTTATGGACAAAGTAAAGTACAGTAATAAAGTAGAGCGCATTAGGGCATATTGCCACTAACAGCATTAAAAAGGAATAGAACATGGGAAGTTGGGAACAGATTACAAATGTAAACGCCAGTAAAAATAGTGATCTATAATATAAGTCATGATCTAATGTAAGAATTTTTCCGAGCTGTAATATTCAGGATATAAAACTGAGACAGCGGTTTGGGAATAATATTTTATTATTGATTTCAACACTATTTAATACCGAGACATGTAGGCATATAAGCTTTTTCCACTACCGCGCGGTGTACGGTAGTAAAATCTTCAATTGATCGAGTTTTGAAACTCAATTTTTCTCCGTAATATTATAATTTTCACAACATGCTTTTGAAGAAATTGGCAAATGAGAATGATTAACCGTAAATGGAAGAAGGTACTTTATCGTTAACGTTATATATTCTTCAACACGCTGTTAAGAGATTGTTTTAAAACGGTTATATTTTTGCTCAAAAGTGCTGTCTGAATCCAGGAAACGTTATTTCACAGAGACAAAATCAAGAATTGTACGGGAGGTGAGGGTTTTAATGGAAGTAACGTAGTGTTCTTCTAAAATTGAATCTTCTTCTGAGAAAATGGTAGTAGACTAAAATTCTTGCATTAATCCCTATGCAAGAACAACAACTAAAATGTAAAAAAGATTTCTCGTATTAAATCTTCAAACAGCTTGAACCTGCTCAGACACATGAACCAAACAAAATACAGCTGCTGAGATAAATTAGATAACCCAGGCTTTGAACCTCATGTAAACATTTAAATGGGCAGAGATATCATGCATGTACTATAAACACATGCATCCCGCTTTGCGAAAACGTCTGTCCTCTAGGGCATATATATGGACAAGCCCTAACATTCGATGTAAAAACAACTTAATACTGATGATCCAATTTCTTGCCACATCTTCAGCTGATACATGTATTTTAGTTGCACAGTATTTGGTGATGTCCTTTTGAATAACATGATTTTATTGCATTTCGGTGAACCCAAATATGACAATAAATCGTTCCCATTTAAATTAAATAGAAGTGATGTCACATTTCTATGTAAAAATGAAGGTGGAAAGTCTCTTTCAGTGCAGTCGGCTTGACCTAAGAATAGCTTCGTTGTTGGATTTTCAAATGCTAGGGTTGTAATACTCATACTTTAAATTATTGTCCCTAATTCCTTGGTATTGATTATTATTGAAAATGTCGGTGCCTAGAAAATCGTAGACTACTATTTTTACTGAATGGACAAACTCTTTAAGAAAATGCATGGAATGCAGCCTAGAACTAGTCTTTTATACTCGGATGGCCAATTTTTGGGCTAGCAATTGTTAGGCGTGGGGACACATTGGCGACATCGCTTGGGTTCCAGTTATGTATGAAAAAGTGCTGAAATTAAAAATAAAAGGCCTGGTATTTAGGCTGCATGAGATGCACTTCTGGGGCTACAAAAACGCAACAGTCCTGTTTATGATCATCGGCCAGAGCCCTTAACAACAGTGTTTGTAAACTATATAAACAATACAATTCAAGTAATTTTGTTGCAAAGGTGAAATTTATTGATATCCCGAATTCCAACGGAATGTTTTAAACAATGTTTAATGTTGACTTCATTTTGCCCCAATCAATTTATACTGTTAACACACACCCCCCCCCCC